GCGAAATTCAAAAACAAACAAACTTTAATGTCTATATGGGTGCCATGTATATTGCTTAAAATTTTAGTTTAATAGCTTATCTGTTACTTACCACCTTTAGCTAGACACTTTAGTCGTAGCATAGAATCTTCGTCGTATGGCCCTATTAATCTGTAAAGTGGTTGGAGGTTTTCGTCCAATATCAAGACGTCTTTGGGAGGAACTATTTAGGATAAAACAAGAAATTATTTACTGATACTGAAAATGAATTTGTTTCCATCTTAGTCTCATAATATCAAAATACTTTAACACATGTTATACTAGACATACCCTATCTATAAGCATCGATTAGATTCTCAGATAAAACATAACTATTGTGTATTTTCTCAAGAAGAGAAACTGAACTCAAAAATATTTTTTGTAAATGCTTTTGCTTACATCTCAAGACCTTTAATCAATTAAATTATTTATCACAAACCCTTAATATTTAAAGCATTTATTTATTAGTATTGAAATTAGAAGGATTCACAGGTTTTACGTATGGATCTTAAGAGTTCAGAATTTTTGTGTTCTCATTTTATGGTAAAATTTGCCGACATTAAGTTTTAACCAAATGCAAACTGTTTGAGAAGAATTCCGTTTATGTAATTGTTTTAAACTGTTTGTGGCGAAAACTCAGAACAAGGTCGACGAAAACTTGAAGTTCTTAAACGACGCTTCGTAGAATCAGATCTTGAAGAATAAGTAGCTTAACTGAAAAGTATTTATGACTTCTCTCCTGGGTCAGCGGCATTTGGGACTAATAAAATAGTTAGAACATCTTTCCAAGGAGTACGTACATACCCAGTGAGGTGTCAGTTGTCACTTTTTCAAAAAGTATACAACATTAAAAAGAGATTGTGTTAATCTGACTTTCACATGTATCATAATCATTATTAAAACGTTATTGTTTGTCAAAAGTAGTTAATAAAAACTAATTACAAATTTCACATTTAGTATGACGGATGATTTATTTTTATTGAACGGTGTAAACATGTACGTAGTAAGCAATATAGGTGATCCGTGTAATTTTTAGCTGCTGGCCACGAGTTTTTCAAGCACAAACTTTTAGCGTATAGCTCCGTCATCTCTTGACCGATTTGAGATCTAATTACAGTTTTGGACTCAGGAGGTCGAACTCTTTCGATTGATATGTTTGATCCTGCCCAAGGTCTGATAGATTAATTTGTTCCTATCCTATATAAAATAATTTCAATTTGAAGATAGGCTTCTAGCGATCCCAATGATTAATAAAATCGAATCGGGTATAAGTGCGCCCCACACTTGGTATTAGTGTCGCACAAAATAATAAAGCTAATAAAAATGAAAAAGAAAGTCGTATAGATTAATTTACTCTAATATTGCTATTGAGGATTTCCTCTTGTTTGGAAAGAAGTTAGTCTTATATTACTTTTGAAGATTTTAAACAGGATATCTATGAAGAAAATATTACTATTTTCTGTTATCTTCAAATACCACCTACCCACGACTTGCAATTTCATGATGTTGTTGAGTGTTCTTGCCCAACGGAAGTCCACTCTACAACGGTATTCTCCTGCATCATCTGCTTGAATTGGCTCTATTGTCATAAGAGCTGGATTTGTACGTAAATCAAAACGTGCTTTTTGGCTCAGGAAATTTGATGAAAAGTGTTTTGCGTTTTCTAGAGGTCCATTCCTGCAGTCCACAGTAAAAATGGGGGTGTTGATGTCTGATCGGTACCACAGTACAAGAGATACTGAGTCCTCACTTGTTGGTGGGGTAATATTACAGGGTAGTTGAGCCCGACTACCAACTAGCACGTTCAGTACTGGTGGTGCTATATCAAAAAGTTTTACTATTATTATTATTTTTACGACGAGTTATGTGATATATTTAAAATACTTATTTAATTATATACCAGCTTAATAATTCATTAGAAAATACTTTCTTTATGAAACTTTATGTCGGGCAAAGAGAAAATATATTAGGTCGTCAAGAATTTAATGTCGCGTTTTAGAACACTTTCATTACCCCCCCCCAAAAAAAAAACGTACATCACGTTCGGCACGTAATGCTGTTAGAAGACAAGAAGGGAAACAACGCCTCTGTAGCCACAAAGAATATCAAAGAAGTTTATGGGAATGTTTTGACTTATGTCAACAATGGTTCAGCAAATTTTGTTCAGGTGACTTTAGCCTTAAAAACTGTGAAGGCAGGGGCCGACATGTTGGAATTGATATTGATGCTCTGAAGACGCTTGTTGAATTTAACCCAAGGCAACACACTCGTGAAATGGCCCTGAAATTGCATGTCTCTTATGAAACAATACGTAAACATTTATGGAATATGGGAAAACTCCATAAAGAAGGTGTTTGGGTGCCTCACGAACTCTCCGATGATCATCGTTTCCAACGTGTGAACGTTACTTCGTTTCTTCTGGTGCGTAATGCGCGCGAACCATTTTTCGACAGAATTATCACCGGTGATTAAAAATGGATTCTCTATGCAAATATTAAACGCCAAAGCCAATGGCTCAGTCCTAGACAAAAAACATTTCCGACCCCCAAAACCAGGACTCCATCAACAGAAATAGGTGCTTTGCATTTGGTGGGACATCAAAAAAGTAAATCATTTTGAACTCTTCAATCCACAGCGAACTGTCAATGCAGAGATCTAGA